TGGCAAGTACAGGGTCCTGAGTTCAATCCCCAGTCCCGCCAAAAAATAAAAAATAAAATACATAGCCAGACTCTGTCTCGATAAATAAATAATAAATAAATAAGTCACAGTAGCAGCTGGTGATACAGTTCAGTGGTAGAACACTTGCCTAATATGCACAATATTCTGGCTGGGACTTTTTCGGTCTTTTTTTTTTTTTTTTTCGGTCTTTTTGAGACAGAGTTTCATTATACAGTTTGGGCTGGCCTTGATCCTACTCTTTAAAAACCCAGACTGACCTTGAATTCATAGCAATCCTCCTGCCTCAGCCTCTTGAGTGCTGGGATCAAACAAAGGGTGAGCCACCACAGCTAGCTTTAAGATTCTGGATTTGATAACTAGCAACAAACAACAAAAACAATCTAGCAAAATTATTCATTTAGTACTTGAACCCAAGTGTTCACAAAGCCATCTGGGTTGCTTCTCCTTCAGGTCTCATGGGAGAGAAGTAAGGAAATATGAACAGGAAGGAGAAGGAAGGCTGGGCCTGGAATGGAGTGGTCCTCACCTCAAGATGCCCGCTGTGCACTGCATGGTGCAGAGCACTGCGCCCGCTCCTGTCAGCCACGTTGAGGCTGCTCAACAGGGGTGCAAGAGCCTCAGCACACTTGGTGGCCCGGTTGGCAGCAGCCACATGCAAAGGTGTCTGCCACAGCTTGTCCCGGGCATTCACATCTGCTGAATGTGCCAGCAGCAGTCCCAGCACCTTCTGTGGAAGGGCAGGTGACAGGAGAGAGATAGATGGGGAGCAGGAGGTAAAACAGGAGGAAGCAGAAAGAACAGGTTAGATGGTACATAATGGCACCATCCCACCCAGCAGCCTCATCTTCCCAACACACCTAGCTGCTCCATACCTGTCTCCTTTTTTTTGGGGGGGGGGGCAACCGGGGATTGAACTCAGGCCCTTGCGCTTGCCAGGGAAGCGCTTTTTCTACTGAGCCATCTCCCCTGTCCCCCATACCTATCTCCTAGCTTCTGGATCTCCTCAGAGCTTTAAAAGTCTTTCATATCTTGCTGAGGAAAACAAGGATCCTTTCCTCTTCCTCAAGCCTGCTGGTTATCAGTCCCCACCCTAGCCTCTGAGACTGCCACTTACAGGTATCTACCCCAAACAAACCTAAACAGGTAGATCCACATATTCCAAACCCTGCTACTTTCAGGAAAAATAAACGCTTCTGCTACCTTAGTGCCCTAAGCACCCTCTGTAGCCCTTAAATAAGTACCAAAATCATTCCTATTACCTCAGTACTCACATAGTTATTCCTCTCCAAAACCAAGGGTAAAATGCCCCTCCTCATCCCCATTGGCCTCAGCCCCTCCCTCTGGTGGCTGAAACCATAGACATGATGGAGAATCCAAAGGGAGGTCTCCCTTTCCTCTTTGAAGGGTGATGACCCTGGGGTACAGCATCCCACCTAGGAGGTATGTTTGGCCCCTGTGCAGTCGACTCTCCTGCTGCTGAGGGGTAGGGGTAGAACAGATCATGACCTCCATCCCCCACTACAAGGAAAGAAATCTCAGTGCTCAGAAGGGGATCCGACTCAAGGTGGCCCCCCAGACAGGGATGAGTCAGACAGGCCTGGCAGCAGGGCCCCTGCAGTCTGCCAGCCCAGTGTTAAGCTCTCCCTGACGTCACATCAGCTGGCAGCACTCAGCCCCCTTACCAGCCAGTTCTAGGGTAGGAAGGAGGAGCCAAAGTCTGGTGTCTTCCCTACCTGGGGTAGAACAGCTAGAAGGTAGAGCACTGAGGCTCTGCAACCCTTAAACTGAACCTCTAGTCAACTCATACTTTCTGGAAAATGAAAGTAGGTGGGGGCAGGGCCCCATACCTCATTTCGGGAGGCAGCAGCTCGATGAAGCGGGGTCAGCCACAGTGTGTCCTTAGCATTGACATTAGCACCTGTGGGGATACAATGTCCTATTTTGATGGGAGGTGAGGAAGGGGAGGGAAGGAAACCAATCATCAGGCTGGGGAATCTGGACGGAGCTGGAGCCTTATCTGCACCAAGCACCAGAGATTAATCCTGGACAGCAAAAAAGACTCCTCCCTCTACTCCCCTCCCTAGGTGCCACACCTTCCTGCTCCCCACTTTCACCTGACATCAGTAGCAACTGGAGGATGGGGACATCGCCTACGTAGGCAGCAGCATGCAATGGGGTTCGCCTCTCTTGGTCCTGGGAAAGCAGAAAGGAGGAGCGGCTATGGGGTGGAACTATCCATGGCCCCAGTCCTGCCTTGGAGATGCAGGCCCTTCCCCACAATCATCCCATGGGTTCTGCAGCGTCCTAAATCCCAATACTGAGAGTCAAAGACAAGCACGTTGGGAGGGTGGAGTCAGGGCTCTGGTCCGAGAAACCTCCCAAGAGGAGTGAGGGCGTAGCAGACCCCCATGGTTCCCAAGACAGCACTGTCTCTGGGCATCCCAGCCCCACTGGCCAGAGCTCCAAGCCTGACCTGCGGTCCAACCCCAAATGCAGAGCAGGCTCCCACTCCAGGATGAGAGAAGTGCTGCAGCCTCATCTGAGCGAGGGGACACGGTGCCGCCCCGCTGGCAGGGAGGGGTCCAGGACACCGGAGCCTGACCGGGCTCGCCATCCTCCCTGCACCCAACTCACCAGCACGTTGATGTTCTCCTTCTGCGAGAGGAGGGAACGCACTTCCTCCACATCGCGGCTAAAGATGGCCTGGACCAGGGGCGGCTGCAGGGAAAACCGGCACTCAGAAGCGGGCCGGCGCCGGAGCGGAACCCGGGAGATGCGAGCACCCAGGCTGGAGGTGGGGGCGTCGCTGGGCGGCCTCGCTCCGGGGGTCCCGGCTGCAGCGGATCCCTGCGGCGCCCCCGTCAGCCGCCAGGCCCCCAAGGACATGGGCCCGGCTGCGGGGAGCGCGGCGCGGCGC